TTTTAACACCACCCAAAAAAAAAGACCCATATCAGTCCTATGCATTCCTTGCCTCATGGTACCAATGATTCAAACAGCGACAATGCCTCTGGCCATTGGCCCTCACATGCCGGCTTCGCTCCGCTCAGAGCGTCTCCTGCCTCGGGACGAAAAGAAGCAAGCTACTCCTCACCGCTGACTCACATGGCTGTGGGTCAAAACCCTGTGCCCCTGGTGAACATCAAAATAGGTGGCAAATGGATGTTCATCCACCCCAAAATGGAGCCATAGGTTATGCCCTATGGCCACATGAGCTTAACTTCACCTGTAGAGAAATTCCGGCCAAGGAAAACCACGTTGAAGGGAAAAATACCTTGGACAACCTAATGAAAAGGCGCCAGGGCGTTTGGAAGACCGCACTTTGTTGGCTGGACTTATAGTACTGAAACTCATCTAGAAACTCTGCGGACAAGACTCATGTTGCAAGGAGTCTGTGTGGCCCATCTTTTACAACGGCTGCTATCGCCTGACAAGGCCTGTTGATCGAACCAAAGGGTGCAATCGACTGGACTGCGCGCCCGACGCTCCAGCTCTGGATGCCTTTGCTAGTGACACGGCCAGTCCTCCGAAGCCACGTCGCAAGCACGTCCAAACGCAAGATTCATGGTGTCACTTACGTCAAAGCTGTCCAAGTCCGAAACCGCTTCAAGGCTGCCTGCCTCCATGCTTTTTTGTAGATTTCGAGTGGCAGTTCAGGGACGGCCCCTTAACCAAAAGGCGCGGGGTTGTTTTTGCAGACCCCAGACGGCAACCACAAAAAAAGCCGCCGCGCCAAACAAAACGCGAATGATCGGCGATGGATCGGCCTGTTCTGCTGCTCCAGCGGGGCCTTCGACATCCTCTCGTCAAAGACGATGATGGACTTGGCCCCTCGCAAGGCGCGGCAGGCGCTTCGTGCCAATTTCTTGGTCGGCATGCGTCACGAACTGGTCTCGAAAAAGAATTCATGGCAGTGCCATTTTTGGAATGCGTCACGAACTGGTCTCGAAAAAGACTTCATGGCAGTGCCATTTTTGGAATGCGAAAAAGAATTCATGGCAGTGCCATTTTTGGAATGCGTCACGAACTGGTCTCGAAAAAGAATTCATGGCAGTGCCATTGTTGAAATGCGTCACGAACTGGTCTCGAAAAAGAATTCATGGCAGTGCCTTTTTTGGAATGCGAAAAAGAATTTCATGGCAGTGCCATTTTTGGAATGCGTCACGAACTGGTCTCGAAAAAGAATTCATGGCAGTGCCATTTTTGGAATGCGTCACGAACTGGTCTCGAAAAAGAATTCATGGCAGTGCCTTTTTTGGAATGCGAAAAAGAATTCATGGCAGTGCCATTTTTGGAATGCGTCACGAACTGGTCTCGAAAAAGAATTCATGGCAGTGCCATTGTTGAAATGCGTCACGAACTGGTCTCGAAAAAGAATTCATGGCAGTGCCATGTTTGAAATGCGTCACGAACTGGTCTCGAAAACGAATTCATGGCAGTGCCATTTTTGGAATGCGTCACGAACTGGTCTCGAAAAAGAATTCATGGCAGTGCCATTGTTGGAATGCGTCCCGAACTGGTCTCGAAAAAGAATTCATGGCAGTGCCATTTTTGGAATGCGTCCCGAACTGGTCTCGAAAAGGAATTCATGGCAGTGCCATTTTTGGAATGCGTCACAAACTGGTCTCGAAAAAGAATTCATGGCAGTGCCTTTTTTGGAATGCGAAAAAGAATTCATGGCAGTGCCATTTTTGGAATGCGTCAAAAAAAGAATTCATGGCAGTGCCATCGTCACAAACTGGTCTCGAAAAAGAATTCATGGCAGTGCCTTTTTTGGAATGCGAAAAAGAATTCATGGCAGTGCCATTTTTGGAATGCGTCACGAACTGGTCTCGAAAAAGAATTCATGGCAGTGCCATTTTTGGAATGCGTCCCGAACTGGTCTCGAAAAAGAATACATGGCAGTTCCATTTTTGGAATGCGTCACGAACTGGTCTCGAAAAAGAATTCATGGCAGTGCCATTTTTGGAATGCGTCACGAACTGGTCTCGAAAAAGAATTCATGGCAGTGCCTTTTTTGGAATGCGAAAAATAACTCATGGCAGTGCCATTTTTGGAATGCGTCCCGAGCTGGTCTCGAAAATAATTCATGGCAGTGCCTTTTTTGGAATGCGTCACGAACTGGTCTCGAAAAAGAATTCATGGCAGTGCCTTTTTTGGAATGCGAAAAAGAATTCATGGCAGTGCCATTTTTGGAATGCGTCACGAACTGGTCTCGAAAAAGAATTCATGGCAGTGCCTTTTTTGGAATGCGAAAAATAATTCATGGCAGTGCCATTTTTGGAATGCGTCACGAACTGGTCTCGACAAAGAATTCATGGCAGTGCCATTTTTGGACTGCGTCACGAACTGGTCTCGAAAAAGAGTTCACGGCAATCTTGCCAGGGGCAAAAAAAAGTGGAGCTCACCCATTTTGCCGAGGTTCCAACACCACAACATGGGAACCAACGCTGGTCCTTTTGGTTCCCAACGGCTCCAAGCGACGCACGTCTCATCAGCGCCTGCAGCCTTTGCCATCTGGACCTTCGGAGTCAAGACGTAACGGACAAGTCGAGCAGAATCGAGTCGTCCAAGCGGTTGGCCGATGTTACCCTCCCAACTAACATGGGATTGTGCCCCCTTCCCCCTTTCCCCTTTCCAAGAGGAAAGTAGCCTTTCAGAGGTCTGTGCACTTACATCTTAGGTGGGAGGGTACTTCAGTTAGCCTCCAATGGATGAGCTAAGATTCCCTTTTTCAGCTCTAGCATCCATGGGACAAGAGTCGTGTTGTAGCAATGGCCACACCTCTTCGGTTCAGGCCACCATCATTGGCCATCTACAATCCAAGCCAGCAACACGAGAAACAGAACAAGCTCAAGTGATATCCCCAACAGCATGCAGTGCTCTTTTTAGTGCTCGCACCACCCCGCAGCCCTCGCAGAACCTCGTGGAACGTGGAACCCTGGTGGAACCCTGGTGGAACCCTGGTACAGCCTTACCTCAGGGCAGCCCTGGACCACCCTGGATTTTCGCTGCTGCGGAAAAAGCTGGACACTCGCACTCCACAGTCCGATGGCTCGCGGCGCGCGAACCGCGCCACGCCTTCTGCTGGAAGGTGCAGATGCCCCGCGCCACCAGAACCACGGAGCCAGGCTGCGAGAGGCGAAAGGCTTTGAACTTGGCTCCGGGGATGTGCTCAGGAGGGTCGCTTTGTTTGAGGCGACCCCTTTCTAGATAGGATGGTTCTAAAAGGGAAACCAAAGGGAAAACCAGCCAGAAAAGCACAGGACAGGATGCCTTTCTGCAGCATGCTTTAACATCATCAAACTTTCCCCGACTGTGCTTGAAAATCATTGCTTCACCTTGCAAACGGCACCTCGGTATATTGAAACAAAGACTAAAACCTGCGCAACCCCACCTGCTAAATTTTGAGCCAAGTCCCGTGCAAGTGACCACCATCTGTGCGGTGGTTTAAGCGATAGGACGATGGCAATCTATTGGCTTAATTCGGCTACGAGGCTCCAGCCTATGACGCAAAACTGCGGGGATTGCAAGCTTGTCTTCTTACGGCAAGCCAGCATAAAAGCCCACAAGCACCCAAAAACACAAAGTCTTTTTGTGGGTCATAAGCAGATTATGGCTCCCTTCATAGGAATGCTTTTGGTCTAAAACCCCCTACCAATGGGTACATGATCATCCCAAACCCCAAGAAACTGGCCTTTTGCGGCCACTCAAAAGTGTCCGATCAACGGGTCCCCGGGTCCCCGCTTCCGCCTTGATGGTGTAAGGATTGCATCCAAACCGCGCATCTTGGACTCCAGGAAAGCTGAGGAACCTGAGATGCCAGCAATGACCATTGGACAAGAGCTGCACGATGGCGTCATGAGCTGCACGCGCAGCCCGCTAAAAAGCAACGGTGAAAGAATGGCAAAGCAGGACGAGATCAAAACCACAACCGGGGGTGGTGCTTGGGATACATAACAATAGAAGCCATTGATTCATATTGCAGCAAGGCAACCCATCGAACCTTCCATCGAGGCCAGAGTACCAATCCGCGGGTCGAGCCTCAGCGCCAAACAAGGAACGATTTTTTTTTGGGTTCCAGGGTCGATCCACTGCGTCGAGCAACAAATTGAGTCAGAAAGCCACGGTTGTCTGTGGAAACATGTGGCCGTGGGTCAACACCAATGGTACCATTTTGGGGTAGATGCGCCACCCATTTCAGGTTTCCTATTTTAGTGGTTGGATTGGGATGTTCACTGGGGGTACGATTTGGGTTTTGACCCACAGCCTTTTGTCAAAGAACCGCTGAGCAAACATGACGCAGGCCTGGTACTCGACGCGATTTCCAGCCTGCGAGCATTCGGCCGTCGGCATGTCTCGATTTATCAGACGGAGGTCAGCATCATGTCAAAGGAAACACACAGCTCCATGGCTCACCAAGCCTGAAATGATTTCAGGGTCATGCCCATCCTATATCAAACTCTCAACCATCAGAGCTATCTGCAGCTGTCCAAGGCTCAGAGCGGTGCTCGCCTCAATCTCCACTTGCAAGATGAGATCATCTCGCAAGCCTTGCATAGGAACTCTTGCGCAGAAGTTTCACTGACACTGGGCCCGACCTTCTAGCTTCTGATAGTACTTTCCTTGGCTTGCAAATGCAGATCTTCGGCAAAGCAAACAGCGTCTGCCGTCTGCCCCATCGTGACGAGCATCGGATCTTCGGAACCAGCGTCTGCTTGGCATTGAAAATGCGATCCTGCCTGCACGCTTTCGCAGGCGCACATCTGCTCCGGAAAAGCTTTGAAGGGGCAGATTGAGGCAAGCCTCAACCTTGCAGCAGACTTTTGCCTGGAGCCCTTGGCACAGAAAACCCAGAAAACAGCTCCGCGACGCGGGGCTAACGGGTGCTTCTCAAGATTGGGGACCAATTCCTGAAGGTAGGTGGTGTCCCTTTGGTGGCCTTTGAAAACCATCCCAAAAAGGGATGGTCCGATTCCTTTGAGACTCCCAAACACCAAATCCAATCAACCCGCCTGAAAGCCTGAGCCTCTTCGGGCATCCAAAAGGCTGCAGTCCCTGCAACGGCAGATTCCTCGCGCAGATTGGCTCGTGAGTGTGTATGTGTTTATATTTATACGGTGCGAATTGTCATGGGGAACCCTTTGGTGGACCTCATTCAGATGGGGATTCATGTCCGCCAACCACCTTTGAGGTAGTTCCTGTTGAAAACCATAGCCGCTAAGTATACATATATATATATATGTATTATGTATTTGTATATGATGTGTGTGTGTGTGTGTGCCGTTGTTCGCTAGGTTGTATGCTGCCATCCCGTTTGCGCGTCCTGCAGCAGGAAACGGCGTCCGGTAGACCTCCTGAGCACGCTTTTATCTTGTCGCAAAATTGCTTGCCGACAGCTGTGAAACGACGCTGCAAGGTTCCAGGGATTAGACGTCCAAACTTCAACCACGGCCAATGCCACGTAGGCCGAAACGTAAGGCTGCGGCGACTCCGCAGTCTCGTCCCCGCCTGACGCCCATGTGCAGACATACTCAGACGTCGGCCATCACGAATCGCCAGCCCTTTGATCAGACTCGGGGTGTCTCGCCGAGTCGTTGCAACATCCGCAATTGACGCAGGCGACCTGGTGGAGCCAGCCATGCCAATGCCGACGTGGCTCTCAGACCTCGCGCACCGCGGAATATCCCGGACCGAACTTCCAACGGCCAGCGCACAAATGTGGCGCTGGCAGGGGTTTGAGGATGAACTCTACTTGAAGACAGCTGGCATCTGAGTAGAACAGGATCTCTCCGTAAAGATGCACTCTCCGGCACTGCAAACTTGCTCTCTTAATGCCTCGAAAGATCGCCACCAGGAGGAGAGCGACGGCCTGTGCGGCATCTTGGGAGGTATTAAAAACAACGCCTGGCGTTGAAACACAGCTTCTGCTGCGAGCTAACGCTGAGACACTGATTCAATGCTTAAAATGACTCAGGTGTTCGCTCTGAGGAACTGCTAAGCATTGATCTTCCAGCCAAATGGAGCTTCAGACTGCAGTCGGCTAACTAAGACCCACGCCAACGTTGGCAAGCGAGGTCTCGAGCGGGCATGTGCCTCATGCCAAGCAAAGTGTGCGCCAAAAACAAACTGAAACACTCTCCAGGTCGAACAAAGTGGCGCCCCAAATGATGTTGACCCTGGATTGATGAACCCCTTTTTTTTTGCATGAAATTGCCCCTGGTTTTAGTGGAATCACTTGAGGGAAGCATCCCCCGCTTGGTAAACCGGGGTTTATTCAGCCGGGGTCAACGACAAAGGAACCTGTTGACACCCCGCCGTGCGTGAACAACGACCTCTCGTAGCAACTCCGACTGGTTCCAGGCTCCAGGCAACATGCTTTGCCATGGCCGAGTGGCGAAAAGAAAAAATCGGGTTGCAACAACGGGAGAAGAATGCCGTGGGATTCCGCTGCAGGAAAGAGTCACACCAATTCGCAAGGGGTCGACAGATTTGAAGCATATCTTTTCCCAGCCCAGGTCCAAGATCTAAGCAAAACTCCGGCGAGTCAAGCACCCGTCAGGCGGATCACGCGGAATCTCTCTGTTCACGAATGCAAAAAAAGAATTGGTTGAACCAGTCCATTGACAAGCTCCCCTCGAAAGAATCCAGCCAAAGATAATTCTCCATTTCATTGGCCTGGTTCGGGACTGCAGCTCTCATGATTCAGCACAACAACTGTCATGTGCAATACTAGTGTTCACTGCGGCCTGGTGCTAGCACATGCCGGCTTGTCGTAGACTTCGTTTTGGAACAGTTTCTCGATCCCTACACCTGTCTTCGCGTCTTTTGCATCGATAAATTTGCATTTGCACGCTCTGCCGCATTCGGCAGAGAGCTTTGGATCATGCCTCGAGGTGCTACACGCTTGCGACTCCGGCAAGTACAGTCGCGCCGACGGTCAGGGCACGCGTCCGGCATGGCCAACTCGGCTCGGTGCGCTCATTCCTTCTTGCCGAATTTGGGCAGCGCGAGCCCGGAGGTGTGTCCAAAAGTAATTTCCAGTTCCTGGCAGAGAACACCCCTTTCCGAGTTCACCCGAAAGCGAAAGGCGCTTTTGCGCTTTTGCTCGGCCTCGTCCTTCTCCGGCGGCTTTGCTGGCTTCTTTTCCGGGGCCAAAGCCTCAGGCTCAGTCCTGGCAATGCGGCATGGACATGTCTCCTGAACTGATTTCCTGCGCACCCACGCGGCCTTTTTGGCCGATGCGCTGGTCTTTGCCGGCCGTCTTTGCAGCCAAGAACTCTGATTCCTTCGGAATCCTTGACGCTCAAAGTCCTCTCGGAACACTCGTCAGCTTTCCTTGCGCCACTTCACGCCCTTCAGCGCTGGCACATTCTGGCGAACCTGACGCGCGACGGACAGAGCCCCACTCAAACATCTGGGCTTGTCTCAAATCGGAACCCCACAATCCTGTTCGTTTCTCAAATCAACCCAAGAAAGGAACCCTCAAAAACGGGCAAACTCGTGTCATTCATGTGAAGATGTGCCTGCGCAAGAATGATGTCAGCGTCGCAGCACGGAGCGCTAGTACGATCCTGGCGAAAGATGCAAACTTGATGCAGCAACATGCTGTGGCATGATGCCCCCTTCACGGCCGTGTCCAGATATTGGCACATTCAGGCCTGTGGCTCATATTGGACTTGTGACATTGTGAGGGCACGTAGCAAAACTAGGAACCCCCTTTGACATATTCGAAAGGAAGCCAACACAAAGGCAACCATGCGAAAGGCGAATAAATTCCAGGCATTCATGGGCATGTCATAATTGTCATAGGCACCACAAACGGTGGATGTCCTTGTGCTTTCCTTTTAAACCAAAATGAAGAGGGTACCCTCCAAACACGCACGCACCCAAGTGTGACCGATGTGCCGTTTCGCGTGCCAGCAACTCAGCGCACCTCTGCGTCTGGACGACCTGCAAGCTCGTAGGCCGCAGCGAGTTGCTCCACAATCCGCCTTCGAGCGTGCTTTGATTGGCAGCATGCCATGCCTAAAGCATCCATCGATTCATCCGGGTTAGCAAGATGAGCATGAGCACCTGAAGATGAGGACCTGAGGATGAGCATGGACCTGCTGAGGATGAGGACCTGATGAGGATGAGGACCTGATGAGGACCTGAGGATGAGCATGGACCTGCTGAGGATGAGGACCTGATGAGGATGAGGACCTGACGATGAGGACCTGAGGATGAGCATGGACCTGCTGAGGATGAGGACCTGATGAGGATGAGGATCTGAAGATGAGGACCTGAGGATGAGCATGGACCTGCTGAGGATGAGGACCTGATGAGGATGAGGACCTGAAGATGAGGACCTGAGGATGAGCATGGACCTGCTGAGGGACCTGCTGAGGATGAGGACCTGATGAGGATGAGAACATGAAGATGAGGACCTGAGGATGAGCATGGACCTGCTGAGGATGAGGACCTGATGAGGATGAGGACCTAAGGATGAGCATGGACCTGCTGAGGATGAGGACCTGATGAGGATGAGGACCTGAAGATGAGGACCTGAGGATGAGCATGGACCTGCTGAGGATGAGGACCTGATGAGGATGAGGACCTGAAAATGAGGACCTCAGGATGAGGACCTGAGGATGAGCATGGACCTGCTGAGGATGAGGACCTGATGAGGATGAGGACCTGAAGATGAGGACCTGATGAGGACCTGATGCGGATGAGGACCTGATGAGGATGAGCACCTGAATGAGCACCTGAAGATGAGGACCTGAAGATGAGGACCTGATGAGGATGAGGACCTGATGAGGATGAGGACATGATGATGAGGACTTGATTAGGGTGAGGCCTGACGACGATGAGGAGCTGAAAAGGATGAGGACCTGATGAGGATGAGCACCTGAAGAGGAGGATGAGGACGTGATGAGAACCTGTGAGGATGAGGACCTAATGAGTGTGAGGACCTGAGGATGAGCATGGACCTGCTGAGGATGAGGACCTGATGAGGATGAGGAACTGAAGAGGATGAGGACCTGATGAGGATGAGGACCTGATGAGGATGAGGACCTGATGAGGATGAGGACCTGATGAGGATGAGCACCTGAAGATGAGGACCTGAAGATGAGGACCTGATGAGGATGAGGACCTGATGAGGATGAGGACATGATGATGAGGACCTGAAAAGGATGAGGACCTGATGAGGATGAGGACCTGATGATGAGGACCTGATGAGGATGAGGACCTGATGAGGATGAGGACCTGATGAGGATGAGGACATGATGATGAGGACTTGATTAGGGTGAGGCCTGACGACGATGAGGACCTGAAAAGGATGAGGACCTGATCATGAGGACCTGAGGATGAGGACCTGATGAGGATGAGGACCTGATGAGGATGAGGACCTGATGAGGATGAGGACCTGATGAGGATGAGGATCTGAAGATGAGCACCTGATGATGAGGACCTGAGGATGAGCATGGACCTGCTGAGGATGAGGACCTGAAGATGAGGACCTGAGGATGAGGACCTGAGGATGAGGACCTGAGGATGGGGACCTGGGGATGAGCACCTGATGAGGATGAGGACCTGATGAGGATGAGGACTTGAGGATGAGGACCTGAGGATGACGACCTGAGGATGAGCACCTGATGAGGATGAGGACCTGATGAGGATGAGGATTTGAGGATGAGGACCTGATGAGGATGAGGACCTGAGGATGAGGACCTGAAGATGAGGACCTGAAGATGAGGACCTGAGGATGAGGACCTGAAGATGAGGACCTGAGGATGAGGACCTGAGCATGAGGACCTGATCCCTTAACAGCCGATGCTGCTGCTCCGAAACCCAGGCCTTCGCTCTGAGCGCGGCGACTCCGGGGACTCGACATCTAAGGCCAGGCCCTGGTCATTGGCGAAGCAACGCGGTGTCC